CTCTCTCTCTCTCTCTCTCTCTCTCTCTCTCTCTCTCTCTCTCTCTCACACACACACACACACACACACACACACACACACACACACACACACACAGAGATGTAGACACACAACCCATGCATAGATGTATAGATGTACAGCCTCCTGCTTTGGGAGCCCCACCCAACCTCATTGCTAGTGGGGTGGGGGTGGGGGCTTGGCTATCTATCTCCCAGTGTCACTGCACCTCCCCAGATCAGGACAACTATTCCAAGGGTCCCTAAACCCTAGACAGCTGGAGTTGAACTCTATTCCACTAACTTGAAGGGTTTTGAGGAAGGGCCCTGTGGTACAGCACCTCCAGCCCTGGGACCCACCTCAGAGTTCTCCACCACCTTCTCCAGGTACTTGTTGAAGATGGCATAGTCCTGCAGCTTGACACTCAGCTTCTGGTGCTCCAGCCTCAGAGCCGTCATCTCTTGCTTGGCCTTGGCCAGCTCCCGCAAGCGCTGCCGCTTCAGTTCACGCTCTTTGTTGGCTTTTTTTAGGGCTCGGATCCGTTTCTGGTCATTCTCCTGGAATGAGGGAGGCAGTGTAAATTAGGTAAGCCTTTCACCCTTTCTCCCTGAGACCCTGGACTGGTGAGACCCTTTGCCCCATCTGTCTGCTGAGCTCAGATCACCAGAGGGCAGGCAGAGCTTGCAGGGTTGCCCATGTTGGAGAGGGGGTATGAAGGAAAAGGATTTGGTGAGGTTTCCGTTATCTGAAGGTATTTAGTAAAGCTAAGGGGCTTCTGTAGCCCGAGGAGGCTGAGAGTACAGTAATTCAGCTCAAGGTCAAGAGGGGGCCTTAGGAAGAACAAGCAGGAAATTCTGAGTCTGTAGGCCTTGGTCTCTGGGCTTCAGAGAGTGGGGGATGGGAAGAGAACAGATAGAAAGAGGGAGGTGGAGGAAGATCCGTCTTGTATCCAAGAAGGCTGAGAAAGGCTAGGTGGAAGAAGGAAGCCTTTGACAGAGCTTTTGTGATTTCTGATTTTAGTGGTGGCATTTGTCATGGGGCAGATGGGCCAGCCAGGGCTGGGAAGACCACATCTTCTCCTGATTTGGTACACAAAGCCTGTGTCTCTCCAGCTGTCAGCTGAGAGTTGGTAGCCCTCTCTTCCTACAAAGCCCAAGGCAGTAGTAATGAGACCATACGCGGAGGAGAAGACACGTCTCTGATAGCCCAGACTGGCATCGGCCAGGACTAGAGGAGACGGCGCAGGTAATTCTGCCCTCAGAAAGGGTGAGGCTCAGCTACTGCCTCTTCTTTCTACAGCATCAGGACCAGTGCAAGTCACCAAGTGTCACCAGGTGTCTCTATTCTCCTGTTATGGGCCCCTGTGGTTCCACATGGATGAACACGTATGGTAGGGACATTTAGGGAGAATGGAAAAAGGCACCAGATAACTGCCCTGTTCCAAAGCACCAGGGAGGCCCAAGGGACTCCAAATCAGTCATATCTGAATCACCTAGAAAGTTTTTAAACACCTATAGGTGTCTGGTCTCAACCTGAGACCTGCTAGAGGCAGAAGGAGGAAGATGTTACCAACATCTGTATTTACAACAAATTCCATGAAATTCCACAACTTCTGACTGCCTGGAAGTCATTTGGAGAGCCCTTAACTCTCAAATTTCCTGTCCTCTCAAATACTCCATCAACTTTGCTCTGGTCCAGGTGGATGTACCTCAGAAGAAAGAGTTCAACTCATGACATCCCAGTTGTGTGTAGAATGAGGAACTTTAAGAGTAGGGTTCCTCCAGCAGAGGGCAGCAGTGAGCTCTCCCTGCAACAGAGCCCAGCCCTTCAGGGCTTCTCTACTACGAGTCCTGGAGGATTGCTGGCCAACAAGTCTGAGTGGGTTTTTGTTTTATTTTTTTACATTTTTATTTATTTTTGTCTGTGCATGTGTATGTGTGTGTACATGCTATGTTGAACGCCCAGAGATCAGAGGAAAACTTGTGGGAGTCAATTCTCTTCTTCCAAGACCTTCTTCTAGACCCTAGAGGTCTAGCCCAGGCTATCAGCCTTGGCAGTAAGTACTTTCACCCACTGAGCCATCTTGCCAGCCCAAATCATTCCTTTAAGTACTGATTAAGGGGACTATCCTCTGAGGCAAGCTACTGTCGTCTGTAGGGCCCAGCCACAAGTAATCCATCACAGTCGGGCTTGCTGACTGTTGGTGCTCCCTCATTGGAAGGAGTGGGGAGGATCATGGGACCCTCACTTGAGTATCCAAACATTCCTTCCAACCAGTTGGATGCAAGTCTGCCTTAGTTGCATGTGGCCCTAGTGTCTCTGGGAGGAGTACAAGTGTATAGGTGGGGAAGGACTAGGGAAGAGGTGACATCTATGTAAACATGGAAACCATCATCCACACTGTACAGATCTTCCAGTGTGGCTGCTTAGGGTCATTCTTGCTCCTGCTTATGACTACCCATCTCTGCTCTGTAGGTAATCCTGATAAACTCCTTGGTTCCTCAGGATCACTGAGACCTTAGAAGGAAGAAGGGAGATGTTGCTTAACCCCCTGTCCCAAGGTAGAGATTCTTGAAGTGGGGAGTTTCTTGCTAGTCTCTTTGCTTCATGGTCCTTCATTGCAATGGTTTCCTGCCTTCATCTAGCCCTCACTTTCAGTGCAAGGACAAAGATGGAGGGATACAGTGAGTGAGTGAGTGAGTGAGTGAGTGAGTGGACCAAGCCCCTCTGACTCACTGCTGTATCCACAAATACTCCTGTCATCCATCACACCCATTCATCCACCCATCCGCTTGATACACTGTCCTGGGTACAGGCAAGGACATAGGGAATGGTCAACTAGAGAGCAGAGACTGGCAGGTAAATGGGACATCTCAGATAGGTGGTAAACAGACTATAGAAGATGCCTGGGAGAGATCAGGCCTTACTGGACTTGGTCTTCCTTGGAAGAAGCCTTTAGTCCAGGGAGGTTGGGAGCGTGGGGAGCCTGCAAAGCCAGGCAGAGGGGGAAGAACCAGTTGGTTCAGTGCATCGTGAAGTCTCCACCTACTGCAGCCCACCCTACTTCATACCTGGATGAATTGCTCAAACTTCTGGATATGGGCCTTCAGCTGCTCTTCCTTAATGCCTAGTTCCTCCCAGCGCAAGTTCAGCGTTTCCATTCTTCGTTGGAACGTCTTTGGGGGATGTGAGAAGGTGGAAGTCAGGGAGCTACCTGATGTGGGCACTCAGTAAGACTCTAACATCATTTGACCAAAGTGTTCTATCCTTTAGCCCGGGAGGCTCTTGAAACGATGATGATGTAGCTCATTGGAAAAGCAATCCCCAACACCTCAAACAAAACATAGCTACAGAAGGGCTTGCAGCTTGCACTCTCTATCCTGTACAGAGATCCTAGTATAGTATCCCACATCCCATGATCCTAGTTCTCCCAAGACTCAGACCCTTTCTATTCTCTGTGGAGGAAAGAGACCAGAACCACCAGCCAGAACTCCCAGTCCTAGCCACCCCCACCCCAATGGGCCCACCATCCATTAACCTTGTGTCCCAGACAATCCATTCCCTACCCTGCACCCCTACCCTTATGACCTCCAACTCCCTCCGCCCCTCACCTCCTTCTTATGTTCCATGGCCTCCTGCATGATCTTTGCCTCTTTCTTCTTCTCCAGGAGCCGAATGGATGGAGAATCTGACTGTTCCTCAATATTTGGGAACTTCCTGTCCAAGAAGAATGAAAGGGGGACAGGGGCCTCTGAGAGGCAGGAGGAGGATTGGGTAGGGAGTACCTCGGAGATGGACACCCATGGGAAGGAAAAGAGGGCTCCACTCTCACCTTAATGAAAGGAGCAGTGTGTTGAGGAGAGAAGGCTACACAGGGCTTTCAGAGAGAGCAAGTGATGGGGGCCCAGAGTCAGAGTTGGGTAATGGGATAATTAACTCATTAATTAGGAGCACTGGGCTGTAGGAGAGGAAAGATCAGGCAGTGGAGCATCATCGTGTGGGTGAGAGTGGTCCCAAGCTCAGAGGCGAGGCAGACCAGCTATACCAGGCACTTACTGCAGAAGTTGAAGCAGCCGCTCCCCATACTGTAGCCGGAAGTATTCGGCCAAGTCCTCCTCTTCCATCATGCCCAAACTCATGGTGGCAGCTACCTAACAGCCCAGGTGGCCTGCTTTTCAGAGTGAAACGGTGAGTGGCAGAGCCACAGGGCACTCAGGACGTAGTGGCTGGGTTCTCGCTCTCCTCTCCTCCTTCTGCTTTCAAAGTCCCACAGAGAGTGGGGTAGCTGAGAGACACAGCAGAAATCAACTAGAGGCTGCCTTAGTATGATGCGCTCTTGCGGTGATAGGAGGTCTGGTTACCTAGCAACAAGCTTCCTAGTTCTGTGGATAGTATCTGGAACCCACAGCTTGCCCTCTAACCTATGAACCCACTGACTCCCCACCCTCCTCTCTCTTTTTGTTTTTTTCAAGACAGGGTTTCCTCTGTGGAGCCCTGGCTGTCTTGGAACTCACTCTGTAGACTAGGCTGGCCTCGGCCTCAGAGTTAAATCAGTCTCTGCTTCCTGAGATTAAAGGTGTGTGCTACTACCGCCTGTCTAACCTTGCTCTCTTGTTGAGGTGACCTCTCTGTTCCCGCTGGCACCCTTCAAGAACTCTGATTATGGTACTGGTTGCTCCTTTACCAGGTAGGGAGGCAGAGTATGGCCATCTGCCGCGGAGAAAGAAAGTCGGCCAGAGGAGTCCGGTGTGTGAAGCTGGCTTCCGGGGGCACCCCCTTCCTAAGATTAGGGGTATGTGAGGGAAAAGGAGAGATTGGGCGGCAGATGGATGGCGAAGAAGAAAAGAGGTAGAGAGAAGACTAGGTGCTTAGAAGAGCCCAGGGAGGAGGTAGGGTGAACAGAGACGTGTGGAAAGTGGGGAGATGAATAGCATTAGAACCAAGTAGTGGGCCAAAGATAAGTCGGGGCATACAGGGAGTGGACACTGGGAGTGTGGAAAAGGGCCTAGCCAAGGCGAGGCCCCTTTAATGCGAGAGTTTATTAAGTACAGATAAAATACACTTTTGAGATGTAAGTGCAGGTGAGGGGTTAATGGACTAGGTCCCTTGTTTAAATGGTTTACTTCTGTATGGCTGCCTTCCGCCGTCCCATGGAGCAGATGAGTAATCCTTTCATAAGGGGTCCCCTAAGACCATCCCGCATATCAGGTAATTACATTATGACTTATAACAGTAGCAATATTGCAGTTATGCAGTAGCAACAAAAAGAATTTTATAGTTGTGGGCCAACACAGCATAAGGGATTATATTAAAGGGTCATAGCATTAGGAAGGTTGAACACCACTGCTTGAAAGTATTATCCTGGGATAGCACTGCGTATACAATCTTCCAGCTGTCCTGGGAGATGCTCCTTCTGGCAGTGACCAAGGGTCCAAACCCCTTCCATCCTGTTGATCCACGGCACCCAGCTAGACCGGCCGGATCACTGCTGAAGGGAACAAGAAAACACCAAGAAGCTCTGCTTCTTCACCTCCGATAGCTTCCTACCCTGGCCACTGTTTTGCTGTGTCTCTGAGAAAAAATAAATGACTTTGAAAAGCATCCGAACAATCTGTGCCTTCCTCTTTCTGAGGACTGGAAGGGTGTCTGGAGGTAAGTGGAAAGCAAAGCCCAAGAAGGAGCCCAAAGGTAGACAAAGAAAGAAAACAGGCCAACCATATCTCTGATGCAAAAATCTAAGCAACAAGCATTAGCAAATTTAATTTAGTTCACACAGTCTCCCGCCTCTCCTGGGACAGTGTCTTCCACATGGTGGTCAGATCTCTAAGCCCCTTCCAGAATGCAGCTATCAAAATACGTTTGCTGGGGCCTTCTACTCAAAAGAGTAATTTGAATAGAATAGCTAGGACCTGCATGCAAAATCCTTAAATATTAGGAAATCTATTAATAAAAATAGTTCTACTGAAATTCTCAAGGGAAGAACTGAATTGTGATAGATGTCAATGTAGCACTGAAAACTTCCACATTTATCTTTAAAAAAAATATTAGTGTATTTGCTGGGTGTGGTGGTGTACGGTTTTAATCCCTGCACTGTGAGACAGTGGTATGTCTGTGAGTACCAGGCCAGCTCCTTGGAGACTCTCTCCCTCTCCCTCTCTCATTCTCATTACATGTGTAAAAGAATCTGAACCAGAGAGAGGATACTAACATTTGTGTCAAAGATGTTCTCGCTAGACTTAGGGATGCTGCTGTCACTACAACCACTTTGCATTGTTTTAGATGCTCTAGCTAGTGTGAAAACGACAAGAAAATTAAATTTTTCTTTTCTTTCTTTCTTTTCTTTCTTTCTTTTTTTTTTAAAAAAAAAAACACAGTGGCAGATGCTGTGATCACGTACAATGAAGATTTAAGGGGATGGTTGATTTCAGTGATTTGAATTTAATGCGATACTATGCAACTTACAGAAAGCGTGAAGCTGATTTGTATGCACGGACCTGGGAGAAGTGTCGGGGACAAATGGAGTGACAGAAGCAAGCTACAGCACAGCATGTCTAATAGGCTGCAGCGTGTGCGCATGCGTGTGGTGGAGGACGGGCTGGGGAAGGTTGTCCGCGGAGCTCTGGAGATGAGAATGACATGGGGTGGGGAAGCCGTTTGAATTAGAAAAAAAAAATCTACTCTCCATATTGTATTTAAAAAAATGTCTTGTATTTCCCTCCCTGCCTCCCTCCCTCCCTCCGTCCCTCCGTCCCTCCTTCCCTCCCTCCCTCCCCTTTCTTTCTTTCTTTCTTTCTTTCTTTCTTTCTTTCTTTCTTTCTTTCTTTCTTTCTTTCTTCCTTTCTTCATAATAACCGTATTGTTTTCTTTTGGTTTTCAAGACAGGATTTCTCTGTATAGCCCTGGCTGTCTTGGAACTTGGTCTGTAGACCAGGCTGGCCTAGAACGCAGTGACCTGTCTGCCTCTGCCCCCAATCTGGGACTGAAGATGTGCTCCATGTGCCTGGTACAGCTCTGTGTTCCATGTCTGAGCATCCACCATACTGTATTCCAATCATTTTACATCTCTATATCTGGTGACAAGAAAAATCTCTCCATATCCTTGCCGAAACTTGGCATATCTGCTTTTTTCCTGTTCATCTCAGCCACTCTGATGGGTGTGAGGCAATACCTCACTGCAAAACCGTGTTCCCTTTTCATTATAACGCTAATAGTGAATCTATTCTTTCTTTCTTTCTTTCTTTCTTTCTTTCTTTTTTTTTTTTTTTTGGTTTTTCGAGGCAGGGAATATATTCTATTATCAGTTGCTTAGACAATATAAATACAGCCAAATCTCTATTTACCCCACACTCGGTCTTGTGTTTCAGAGGTGACCATGTGTTTATCAAATGCTTCTGTGCAGTGCTGCGGTGACCTGGAAAAGGTGACCAACTCTTGGTCTTTTTACACATGACCGGGCCTGATTTACTCTGAAGAGTTTTGGCCTCTCCTGCTCTAATCTGAAAGAAGTCTCATCTAAGAAGTAGAAATTTAAGAGAATCAGAGGCATCCTGAACAAAGGCTGTCTCTATGTAATGAACAGTACAGCAAATATGTCAGCCACAGGACTGTGGGGCTTATTCATCTTTTACTGGAGTCTCACAAGGGAGAAAAGTGTTTGCAGACCTTATTGGTTCAAAACAGCACACAAAACTACAATCAGATATACACCTACGTGTTGTTTACAGACTATTTGGGGTGCAGGACATTGCTGTCATGCCTCCTTGCTCTCAGCACACGGTCTTAGGCCTGGTCACCACATCTCACAAACACATTGTCCTGAATCAGGTATGTGAACAGGCCACCAAGGAAGACTAGGAAACATGGTACAACTGAGGCTGCCCATTCAGCTGAGCTTATAGGAGTGAAACCATATTAAAAGTCCAAAGCGTAGTAAGGTGGATTACGGTGTTTTTTGTTTCTTAGAAGTTAGTTAATTCTGGGGGCTGGAGAGATAGATGGCTCAGTGGTTAGAGCTCTTGTTGTTGTTCTTCTAGAGGATCAGGTTTCAATTCCCAGCATCTACTTGGTGGCTCCCTGACCCCAGTTTTTGAGGAGCTGACGTCTTCTTCTGGCCTCCACAAGCAGAAGACATACATAGGTTACACAGACATACATGCAGGTAAAACACACATGCTTAAAAATAATAAAGAAGTTAACCAATGCTGAATAGATAGAATATACAGCGTACCAGCAGACTGAGCATTACTGATTTGTAATGGCAAATTTTAAAAAGGATTCCTCAGAAAAAACATTTCCACACAGTACCCGTGGCATGCCTGGCAGTCTATCGGGCTGTAGGTAAGTCCTAACCAGCCAGCAGGAACAAACAACACACGGGTTCTGGTGACTACATACGGGGATGGTGTCTGCAAGGCTCTGTCATCGGTATCACGACCCACCACCACAAGTGATTGTGTGTTGGGGAACAGGAGCGAGCTGCTGCCCACAGACCCTGGCAGCTCCCGTTAGACCTTTCCTGCTGATTGCTGCTCCTCCCAACCTGGGGCCTTGTGAGCCCAAAGTCTGAAGCTTTAAAATAATTATTGGCTTTAAAATACAAAGTCCCCAGCCAGAGCCCAGAGCTGAGCTGTTTAGTGGAGTGCAGGAGAACGCTACATGCAGCTTCACGGTTCACTTCGGCATTCACACCACGCTTCACACATTTCAGAGTAATCCGTGGCTTTGATTCTTCACTCCCCAAGAATTCTTAATTATTCACAGATTTTTTTCTGGGGGAAAAAAAGGAAAGCAAATTGTGAATTAAATTACTGAGACATGTAATTTCTAAAGCAGAATACTAAAAGCCCTTTCATTTTCCCCCTCCAAAGTATTTTGAATGTTGACGAAGTGTGTTTTAATCTGTTTGTTATGGCAACATTTAGGGATTAGCTATGTTTCCTGTAGGGCTGGGTGGTCTAAAGATGGTGGGATTTTTGGTCCAGCAAGATGGCTGAGTGAAACGGGCTTGCTGAGCTCAGTTCTCATAAAGGTGGAAGGATAGAACCAGCTCCTACAAACTGTCCTCTGACATGCACATGCATACAAACATACACGTGCACGTGTGCACGCACACACACTCAGAGAGAGAGAGAGAGAGAGAGAGAATGCTAAGACATATTTTTAAATTAAAAAAATGTATTTTATATGGTGAATGTTTTGCCTGCATGTATGTCCATGCATCATACGCATACAGAGCCCACTAAGGCCAGAGACCTTGGAACTGGAGTTTCTAAAAGTTATGAGCCCCAGAGTAGATGCTGGGAATGGAGCCTTTATTCTCTG